CAGCGGTGGACAGACAGACAGACAGACAGAGAGATATGACAAGGAGGGAGGGAGGGATGGAGTAGCACGGCGGTGGACACAGTGATAAGGATGGGGAGGAACTGGGGGCGGGGGTGGTGGTGGTGGACAGATCGTCTCTCTGTCTCTGTCTGTCTGTGTGCGTGTGGTTGGTCCTGCCGACAAAGGGCTTGCTCTCTCTGTCTCGTCTATTTTTCTCCCTGTCTGTGTGCGTGTAAGGGGGGAGGGAGGGGGGGTGGAGGGAGCAGTGGAGGGAAGGGCTTGCTCTCTCTGTCCCGTCTATTTTTCTCTCTCTCTCTGTCTCTCTCGGTACGGTGCCTGTCGAGCCAGTCGTCGAGTGATTGTGGTGGACAGACAGGCAGAGTGATATGATAAGGAGGGATGAAGTAGCGAGAGAGACAAAGAGCCACGGAGGGGGCGGGGCGGTGGAAAATTGATAAGGGGGAGGGAGGGGGGCTAAGTCCTGTGGCACCCATCACACGACTCAGACACACAGACAGCCAGATAGACACACGGGTGGATGGGCTCTTTTTCGTCTTGCTCTCTCTCTCTCTCTCTGTCTGTGTGTGTGCGTGTAAGTGGGCGGGGTGGGGGATTGTACAGCCTGGAGAGGACAAGAGGGGCGGTCGTCCTTTTTCTCGGCCCCCTTCGAAGACTCTCTCTCTCTCTTTCTCTCTCTCCGTGTGCGTGTGAGGGAGCGGTGGGGTGGGGCTGACTGACTGACTGACTGACTGGCAGACCGGTGGATGGTTTTCAAAGTGAATGTGTACACTACCCATGGCAGCTGAGCTGTAATATCCCACACACACCGCCCCGAACATCACATCATGCCGCACATGTGCACGGCAGCACACCCATCCCATCAACACATTGTGCCATTGATTTCACCCGACACACAATTCGCCACCCAGCGTGTCCACGCCCACAGCACTGCATAGCCAACAAACCCACAGCCCACGGCTCACAACCATTCATGATGCCTTTGTCCACGGAATGGCTTTGAGATGTCTCTCCACCTCATTAAGAGCCTGCATCACATCTGATTCAGCCGCCGGCACGCCACCCAAGTACACACATGGCTGCGACCCGCTCTTGAGACAACACACGCCACACGTCAGCAACTGAAGCGACAGTATACGGGGCACATGAGACACGGAGGGATCTCCGGCTGTGCTCAAGCCACAACTCACCGCAGTGAGCAGGAGGGAGGTGGTGAGGAGGGGCGTCTCGTCCTCTTCGGATTCGCTCGAGTCAGCAGAGGGAAGGGGCGCGAACATAACACACACGGCCTGCATTGACGAAGAGATGGAGGCACACAGGCAGATGGATGTGGCAACGAGGGTGCATCTGATGGGCGGACCGACCTTTGTAATGTGCGGCGAGATGGATTTGATGGCCTGTGCCGGGCCCACTGCACCTGCAGCCTTCCGCATAGCCCACAACAAACCCCCCTAAGGGATGCATACACACAGACAAACACCGAAAGAACCATCGTGGACAAGCGGCCCATGGGCAGATTGATTGTGTTGTGTGCGCCCACCTTGCCGGATTGGCCGCTCTCGCCTTGCCGTGCCTCTGTCGGCTCGCCCGTCTCTTTGGGGCTCGCCTTAGCCAGTGGGGCAAGGAACAGCGGCACATCTGGCAGGTCAGTCTGCGCAAGAGTGCAAGAACAAGACACAGAGAAAGGGATCTTATCCACTGGTCCTGGACAGAAATGTCTCTGGCGTATCTATCGCATGAATGCGATGCGTAGCTGTCTGTTGCGTTGCTTGCCGAGAGTGCGTCGATGGTTTCTGTGTCGTGTGGGTGTGTGGGCTGGATGAGGCAGCCCAGCCCCTTGGCTGCTTCATGGACAGACACAAACGTCTTGACCTGACGTGATGCCACCCACGGCACAAAGGCAATTAAACGAAGCGGAAGAGCATGTGCACATACATTAGGACAGAAGAAGAGGGGTGTGTGTATGTGTGTATGTATGAGGGTGCGTACGAGCTGTTCTCGCTCTATCTGTTTCCCGGCCTCCACTTCATATGTGGGTGACTCCTCCTGCTCTTCCTCGCCTGGCGGTCCGCTCCACCCGCTGCCTCCGGTGTTGATGACAATCGACACGTCTCTGTCGGCCGCCACGGTGTCGATCGCTGCACGAATGGCTGCAACACCCTTCTCTGCATACACAGCATCATGCAAGCAAGGCCAGCACAGATGCGGTGAAGTATCTTTACACGTGTGTCTCTTTGTCTTGTGTGTGTGTGCACCGAGGCTCTCCGGCACGTGTGGGATGCCATCGACCACCAGCTCCTTTGTCTTCTTGTCTGCCGTCAGCTTCTTGGCGATCTCCTCGCGGATGGCTCGCGCAGCGTCCACACAGTCCAATACCGATGGGTGGCTTGGCTCAGCGGCACCCTCCCCGCCTCCTTCTACCTCTGCGGCACCCTCCTCGGCTGTCCGTGCTATCATGGATATCGACAGGCCTATCCTTATTGAAGTGTTCTTCAAGGGAGATGGCTGAGGCGGCAGATACGCACAGGAAAACCATGCAGCTGTCTGTTTGATGTCTTGTCCTGTCCTTTGGTTGGGTATCTACCGGTGCTGCAGGCATGATATCGAAGAGGATGGCTGGCCAGAGAGGCTTCCACTTGGTGAGGCAGTGGTGTGAGGCCCATCCGCATGGGAACGCATCGCTGAACGGTGATGGCTTGTCGCCCTCCGACGTGTCGTCGGCATGCCAGTGCAGCCACTGAAGCAACACTGATATACACCGTCGGAGACACAGAACAACCCGATCGGTGCTCGCTGTGTGTTATCATGCAGTCAGTACCCACCGTCGAATGGCTGGGTGAGATTAAGGGCGTTGGCGGACATGGCGAGCAGGATATCCGTGAGGCGCCACGCCACCTCTTCTCTATGCTGCATCCGTGAGTTGACAGCTTAAATGGCGTACGTACCAGGGGCCACGCAGGCGTCACCCTCTCACCTCACCTGTATCGCAGCCTCTCTCAAGAAGCCATCCAGCCTGATGCCGGCCGCACATGGCCATGATTGACACTATTCGTGTGTGGCACTTCTCGCCTGCCCATGGTGTCTTCCACTTCCTTACTTGTTCTCCATGACGTCAAGACGCAGCACATCGCATCCGCCCACAGCAGCGTTCAAGCTCCCATTCATGAGCGCCACAACCTCCTCCATGGAGTAGTCCTCCACCTGTCCCTCACCCCCGGCACCATCCTCATTCTCCTTCTCCCCCTGTCCCTCCCCGGCCGCTCTCTCCCTCACTGCCATGCGACCAACAAGCCCAGAGAAACATCCCTCCATGAGAATGACCACACCCCCACGGACAGATACCCTGCCGGTGACGTGCAGATCCCCAGACTCATGATTGGCCTGCAACCACAGACGATAAGTGAACAATAAACATGGCATTGCATGTCAGTAGTTTTGCTCAGTGCTACTTTACCTGGACAGTGAGGGCGGGGCCGCTATCTGCATCCGGGAGCGTGGGGCGCGTGCTTGAGGGAGCAGAAAGGTTGAAGCAGTGCGCAGCGAGGACAGAGAAGGGGTCGGAGGGCAGGCATGATGTCGTCAGGAGCTTGTTGAGAGCCGTATTCAGGCCATCCTCCACCTACAGACAGACAGGTGACAACACAGGAGGCATTCAAACAGCTCAAAGCATGTATGAGGTAAGCATTGCTTACCTTGTGCTTTTGCAGATAGGCTTTGACCTGGGTGGGGAGATAGTCTTCGTCTTTCACCATCGCGTGCTCCAAGGGGGATGGATCGTTAGCAGTCTCCGGCCGACGCCCCCAAGAAGCGTTTTGTCACGGTGACTCGAACCCGAGAAAGCACCAGTGCATCCACGATGTTTTCTTTCCTTCGGGCCAGCATTCCGCTTCTACTTGCGGCGACGGCAGCCCGCTGTCAAGCAGCAACCGTCAATGAGACGACCCTGTGCCGGTCCTCCGCCATTGCAGACGTGTCGAAACATGACTGGCGGGCGAGCTCGAGTGCGGCCACCAACACGAGCATCCTGGGCCTGGATCTCTGCGGGATAGCAGACGGTCCCGTCATCATGAACGCACTCTTCATGTGAACGCACGCATGGAGCCACAACCATGCATGCCGTTTGCCTGCATGCGCGTCTTTCTCTCGTTTGTGCGTGTGTGTCTTGGCGTGTGGGGCAGTGCGATTGGCCACAACATCGATGTGGGTCCTTCCGTCCAGATCCTCAGAGCCTTCAAATTCATATGCCGCCTCGCCGGCAACGGCCTGAAACAGCTGGACAAAGACACAATGAAGCTGGCAAACGCCCTGAAGAACGAAAGCGGAAAAAAGCAGGCGAAGGCGCTGGATGTCACTCGCCGAAGCGTAGACATGGTATGAAAAGCCCTGAAGCACTTCGGCGAGACACGCACAAACAAGCGACCATTTCATGCACGTACGTGTCTCTTCGGTATGTATGCAGTGGGCGAAAGAAATCTCATTTGCAATGCGTCATATTACCTCCAAGACGCGGCGCGGCTTGAAGGACGAGATCTGCCTGAGGGACTGGAACCGACCGGAGGGACAGGTAGGCGATCTTCTCACAGCGGGATGACATGGCCGGATGTCCTCGTGCAGGAGTGTCCCAAGGAAATGCCGCGGCTGTGTGCCTTCGGGTATGAGTGCTCCCTGTCAACTTCCAAGTGCGTTCAATATCAGTACATCACCGCGGTGAGGGCACACGTCAGCTTAGTTGAAGACATACTCAGGCTGCCTTGTTGCTTCCGACGTTCCCCATGGCTGCAGATGGACACAATCGGCGCCCCGATCTACGTGCTGTCGTACCTGATGGCCAGCCCCGTGTTGCTACCGGGCTCCATGACAGCCCGCACCGTGGCCTGGTTCTTGAGGCACAAGTACCTCTTCTACGAACTTGCACAGATACACCAGGAGGTCAGCTTACTAAACCAGCCGCCCACCGACGACGGACACACGACGTCGGATAACCACATTGGCTTTCATGCTGGTGTGTGTGCAGGTGCATGATGAGGTATTTCATGAGCTGCCCAAGACGAGGGGGGTCATGTTCGAAGACGACCTCGACCAAATGGCCCAGCAAGTCACAAAGCTCGCGTGAGTAAGCCATACATGCACCCCGTGCCAGCACGCACGCACAGCGGGAGACACAACAAAATACATCTCAGGACTCGGCCACCTGCCCTCCCTCTGTCTGTTCGTGTCTCCTCCCTCCCTCCCTCCCTCCCTCCCTCCCCCTGCCAGTTGGCTTGGGTGGATCGTGTCGTCGGGACTTCCCATCTACGCCACCATCCAGGTAGACAGTAGAGCAGAAGGGGGCCGGCCGGCCTCACGTGTGTTCCCAACCCCCCCTTCATGCAATGCAATGCACCCACCTACCTACCTACCTCCTAACACATGCTTTGTGTTTTCTCCTCCCAGTGGCTCATCATTGGCCCCAGTGCCCCGAGGTCAGCCAGCCGCACTAATGCATTTGGGTGGGGTGGGTGGATGCGAGCATGCCTGGTGGTGCAGCACTCTGGCGGCCGGTCTGTCTCTGTGGGATTGGCTTGAGAAATGGGACGAAGTCATTTGGTCCAAGGTCACAGACGCATGTGCCTCGGCAGTCAACCACATCACGGAGAAATTCGTCGAGATCGCGGTGGGCGAGGAGGTGATGGCTTTCATAGCGGCCGAGGAAGCAGAAGCGGATGGGCAGCACGAGGCCGTCGTCGAGGGACCGCTGAAGGATATATTCCGGCTGAAATTCCACAGGGAAGACTGCGTCTACACCGACACACACGCGCCCAAGAGTTTGGTGCCTTCCCGTGCCTCCGGCCCCGTGGGCTGCCCTCTAAATGATGAATTCAAGGATGCGGATCGAGAGCTGACGCAGCGGGGGAAGGAGATGCGGTCTGGGATCCAGCGTCGGCAAGAGGCCGTGGAAAGAGAAGAGTTGGGCATGCAGTGAGGGAGGGAGGGGAAGCGGGAAGGCTTGACAGATTGGGAGAGATTGAGAGAGACACTGTCTGATGCGAGAATGCTGAGAATTCGAGTTCATTTGATGATCCAGCCGTGCGAGGAGTCCCCACATACATTGCTAGCTACACCTACAAGCAAATGTCTGCACCGCACCCATGTATAGATAGTATAAGCGATGAGGTGGCAAGGCAACCGATCGGTAGCACAACAAACTACAGCGTCTCCCTCGCTCTCTGCCTTCCCGTCTGTCTCATCTGCTTGCCTATGCATGAGTGCTATCTGGTCTCTGTTCTGTCTTGTCGTATCGTGTATGTGCTCAAGCCTCGGCCTTGAAGAGCTGGTTTGCTGGTGGTGCAGGGGGCATGGGCATGGCTGCGGGCGGACTCTGCCAAGTGGCCAGCATGTCGGCATTGGCGCCCAGCCGATAAATGGTCATCGGGTCCATGTGAGGCGACAGATCGGACAGAGAATCCCACCACGGATATAGAAACCTGCACACAGGCATACAGAGAGCGGTGTGTGCCTGGGGTGCATTGTGTGCCTGTCCGTCTGTCTGTCTGTCTGTCTGTCTGTTTCCCTTCCGCCCCATTGACTCACTTGTCGATGATGAGTTTGCACCAGGGTGTGATGAGCAGCTGCCCCTCTTCGCACTGCCGCGCCATATCGCGCATCGCTGGCTGGTCGACCCACCTCACCGCCTCCACCTCGTTGCTGTTCGGCACAAACGATATCTACATTAACAACACACATTCAGGGCAGGACATTGCCCTGCTGCGCTGTCCTTCCCTTACATCAGCGAAGGGCCTATCGTCTTGTGCGATGAGAATGTAGTCGATCTCATGTTCGCCCCACTGTGGGTCAGTGGGGGACTCGGCACAGTAGTGCAGCCGCGTGAGGTACGTCATGACTGTATCACCACCTTTCAATGACAGCCCCAACTCGTGCTGCAGCTTCCGCACCGCAGCTCGCTTGGCGCCCTCCACCGGCCTGGCTGGCTGGCTGTCCCATCCCAGCTCCTCTGTGCAATAGAGGGGATGACTGCAGCACGTGTTGGCCCAGAACAGGGGGAAGGTCACCTTGGCGGCCGCCCGCTGCTGCAGCAACAGCAGCCCATCCCGGTCGAACAGGAACACGCTGAATGCCCTGTGCAGCAAAGGGCCCTTGGCCGTCGCGTGGGTGTCTATCTTGGAGGCGGGGCCGAGCACATTGTCGTCTTTGTCGACCAGGATGACACGCTCCTGCATCAGGGACGCTTGAGTGGGATCCATAGCCATACCTCCTGGTGGTGCTGTTGCTGGTGGTGCAGGGGCAGTGCCGGTGGCCATGCACCGAAGGCGGCGATGGATGTGAGCACCAATTTGCTGCAGCCTGGGCAAAGGCGCCGGGTGCTGGAAAGAAGAGTAGAGCCGTCGGTGGAGCGTGTGGATGCGCGGTAGATGGGAGTGCGGCAGACTGAGGGGGGGAATGAGTGGGGCGGCTGCAGATGGTGTGGATGTGAGTGCTGCAGTCGCTGTCAACGCACGATGAGTCCACATTAATCAGATCTGCATCACTTGAGGGGAGAGGTCTGCGAGCCTTGACAATCCGTGAAACCGCTCTCTCTCGAGCTGAGCAGACGAACAACGCATCTTTCTGAACCAGAAGCATCATAAGTTTTCGCCGCTATCCATCCCCCTTTCCCTTCTATCGATGTCCTCAGCAGCCGCCGGGTCGGCGCCGGCGAGTCAGTACGACCATTTGTTCAAGCTGCTGCTCATCGGCGACAGCGGTGTTGGCAAGAGCAGCATCTTGCTGCGGTTCACCGACGACGAGTTCAACGAGCGGCAGCTGTCGACCATCGGGGTGGACTTCAAAGTCAAGTACATGTCCCTCAACAACAAGAGGCTCAAACTCGCCATATGGGACACTGCTGGGCAGGAGAGATTCAGGACCCTCACCAGCAGCTACTACAGGGGCGCCCAGGGGATCATTCTCGTCTAGTGAGGGAGATGACCACCACACAACTCCCAACCGACTGACTCACCCTGTGTGCATGTGTCGTGTGTGTGTTTCTGGTAGTGACTGTTCGTTGCGGTCAACGTTTGACAACCTCAAGTCCTGGCTGGAGGAGGTGCGCAAGTACAGCACCAACCAGGACGCCGTCAAGATGCTCGTCGCCAACAAAATCGACAAGGTATGTATCACTGACCGACACACGCTCACAGTGCAGTGCAACACACTCGCCATGTGTGGTTGGTTGGCGCATTGCGTATCGATCAGGCGTCGGCGCATGGCGTGTCGCGAGCGGAGGGTGAGGAGTTTGCGATGAGCCACAGCATGCTGTTCATCGAGACGTCAGCCAAGACCCGCAAGGGCATCCACCAGGCCTTCGAGGAGGTCGTCCTCAAGGTCCTCGACACACCCTCTCTACTCGCTAACACACAACCAATCGGTACACACAGCACAGCACAGCACAGCAAGCACATCACAGCGGCTGGAGCACACTCCTGTGCGTATGCCTGGTGTGTCATGTGTTGTGTCAGGGGCGCGTCTGGACTCTGCAGAGGGCGCCAGCAAGCCGTCCTCAAGCTGCTGTTGAGCAGGCAGGCCCCGATGTTCCTTTGCCCATAATCCCCCAGTGAGTCGGTCAGTCATTTTGGCGTTTTTGGGTGGGGACGTCAGTTGCTGGTTAGTCAGATGGAATGCAGCGGTGAGGCTGCCTCCATCGCAGCCAGCTTGCGTGACGAAGTGTCGAGTTTGGCCACCGGTGTCGACACTCACTCACTGGCGGGATGTATGTCTGTGTGGCGCCAGACATCTGTCTATCGCACGTGTGCATGGGTGTGCGTGGTTGATGGATGGATGGATGCTGCTCGGCATCGAGCACAGACAGACCGACTTGCCTGCCTCATTGATTGTACATTAGCCGACCTGGACGGTGACGATCGTCAAACGTGTGCACGCACCGCACCCTCTCATGACGGTCCACACATCACACGCACAACCACGGGGGGTGAGAGGGCAATGCAATGCAACTAACTACTGGGGCTGTGTGTTCGCGATGGTCTCGTGTCTATCGCCGCCCCAGCCAGCCCCACACACCTACGTATCTATCTGTGTCAGTCAGTATATAGTGGGACAAAAAGGCAGCCACCGAGTACCCAAAAACCACCAGGCCCCCCCCACAGTCACGCAAGTAGCTGTAAGGGTTCCAATTAGCCTCCGTCGGTCTAAGTTAGACACACGTACTCCACCCCACCTCAGCCCCCGCTCGGTCTGTCTGTCTGTATCTGTGTGTGCCCCAAAAGCAGCCCTGGGGCATCGCACCGCACCGCACCGCACCATCCGACCGACGGAAGGCGATTGAATTAGTCAGTCATGACCACATGTCGTGAAAGCATGAGCGAGTAATTCCGTCCGTGTGTGTGTTGTGCGCGTATGTACACAGAGCGCACGGCATTCAGTGTCTAGAGTTCGTCCTTGTCCTTCTTCCTGTCGCTGTCGTCTTCCTCCTCATCCTCGTCGTCAGCCGACGATATCAACACACCCTTAATTAACACGTACAACACACGTAGACACACACGTGCCACACACAAACGTCTGTCTGTCTGCTGTCTGGGTGTTTGGTTGGTTGGTCGATGTACCTACCTCGTAGGCCAGCCAGTAGTCATCGCTGCTGGGCTTGGACACCATCGCCACGGCGACCTCCTGGTGGCCTGACAACACGCACAGCAAACACATCCCATGCAGATATATGGGCATGGCCAGTGTGGTGTCTGTGGATCTCTCTCTCTCTCTCTCTCGTTCCCGCAGTTGCGTACCAAGGATGGGGCATCGGGGGCAGTTGGCCTGGGTGAACCTGACACACACACAGACCAACGGCAGCCAGACAACAGGTGTCCATCGGGTCCACACTCGGCCTTGAGATCTGCACGTGTGTGGCGTTGATCTCTCACTTGTGTTTTGCAGTCGTCCTGAGGTATCCAGGGAGTCCCTCGTGTTTGAGGGCCACCTTCTTGCCGCGCTCCCACACCTCGGCCTTCTTGTCGCCGCACTCGACAATGAAATTGTCGCCCACATCTCCCACTCCACTACTACCAAACACGCTCACCTGACACACACACATACACACACACGAATGGCAACCAACAGCCATGTGTTGTGCTGTTTGCTGTGGCCACCCTTCATTGATAATCGACCCATGTATGTTGCCCGCCGTCCGCACCTCTTTCATGCCCGAGACGGGCGACCGCCACGCGTGGCTGTGTACGTTCTTCTCCGTGTCGAGGTGCTCGAGGCGAATGACGTCCCCACACTTGATGGGTGCGCCGGTGTGGCAGCCGGGCAGGTTCATGCCCTCCTTGACCAGCCACAACAAACTGCGGTCCGCCTCATCGCTCTTCTGAGCCGTCTGCAGAGCACACACATACACGCCCACAGACATGACCCACATACGTACGGTTCTGCTCGTTCAAATGGGAGTCGTGGGTCTGTCTGTTTGAGCTACCTACCACAGCTTGCTGCCCACTGCCCGAGCCCCAATTGATGCCCGCAGAGAACAGCCTGCGCCCAATACAAAGACACAGATCAAGCGACGAAACCCACAGTGACAGTCGTCTGCGAGACGGATCTCCCTCTTGCTCTTCATCTGTGTCGTCACTGACTTGAATCCTGTGTCGGCGTGTTTGAGGTAGATGGCGCTGCCACACGTGATGGGCTTGGCACCCACACCGCCAGGCACTTTGCCGCCGAACCAGTCTACCAGGGTCACGCACACGCACACCAGCACCAGCCCGATGCTGGACAGGCCGATTGAACCTTTCCTGCGCCACACGCGGCGTCTGCACGAGCCGCAGCGGCTCTCGGGATCCCCACGCTGTCCGCTCCCCGCCTGTTGACGCGAAGCTGCTGATGGCGGATCTCTCGCGTGGCGCAGAGGCCGAGCGACTGCTTTTCTATGCTCCATGCTGTACGCTGGAGCTGCTACAGGTGCTGAAAGATCTTCTTCACTCCTTCCACGTCACAACCGCGATCCTGGCATTTTGCCAACTGGCCGATGAGGCTGGCCGCGCGCTTTCAGATGGATTCGTGACGTTTGAATGCTTGAGTGGAGGTGGAGGATGCCCAGCCACGGCGGCAAGGCCTGATCAGGGCCACCATGGCGCTCATCGGCATAGGCGGGTCGTCCATGATGGTGCCGGAGCACCATTCTGCATCTGCCGCCACGCCCAACGGCCATCCCATTCCCTCTGCATCGACATACCTCTACCCGGCTGCATCCCCATCGCATAGTCATCATGGCGGCGGCTCGGGGCAGACGATGAGCTCGAGTAGCATTTTGTACAGCAAGAAGGTGCCGGTGCGCATCAAGGCGCCTGACAGGGAGGACCACTGCGCATCGCTCGACGTCAAGGTGGCGCTGCAGGCGGAAAGTAGCCAACAGGTAACTAACCAGAGATGACATATATAGAAAGGCAACATCGCCATGGTGTTGTTTGTCGTGTGTGTATCGTACCGTACAGATGCTCTACGTGGAGCTGACCAACGAAGCCGACCCGTAGGCTAGGCAGCCTTAAGGCAGAGATGGAGGGAAGAGCGCCATCACATAATCTATGTGATATGCACTGTCTGTACGGGTGTGTGGTTTGTGTCTGTCAGGTATTTCCTGTACACGTTGCAGGTGAGTGAGTCGGACTTCCACGTGTTGAAGACCGACCAGCGCCTGCTGGTCGACTTCCAAACCTTCCCCTCCAAGTTCATCGAGCTACTGGAGGAGTGCCTCAAGGGCCAGCACTCGCAGCCGCTCACCGTCCCGCCCAGTCCATCGCCGCCACAGGCAGCATCCTCACACACGCACCCGGCGCACAACGTGTCGACCGCTATCTCCTCGTATGCACCATCGTACCTGGCCCAGAAGTGAGTGGGTGCGGTGTGTGATGCACCACACGACACGCGCATCGGCCTTCCTTTGTCCACGAATGTATGTGTGTGGGTGTGTGTATGTGTAGGTTTGTGGCCATATTGCTGTGCGGTCCCGGGAGTGGGCCTTCGCAGCCTGCAGGAGGGTCACCGTCGGGTGCGTCGTCGTCGTGTGGTGCGGTGCGTTGCGGGGAGGCGACGCTCAACCTGGTGGAGACCAACCAGTTCCGCGAGCTGACCCACCTCTTCCTGCGGCTGAGGCGCGGCAACGACGATGCCGTCAAGAAATACCTGGCCAAAAAACTCACCGAATTCAAAGTCAGCCAGCACCTATACTAGACAGATGACGATGGTCTTGAGTGTGTATGGATGGATGTGTGTTGTCGTGTCGACCAGGTTCGTTGTGAGGACATGGGTCGTGAGCTGCACACTGCCGGCGAGACGCAGCGGAAGCAGAGCCACGACATAGACGACCTCACCACACGACTCAACAGCCTACAAATCGAACAGTGGGCGCAATACAACACGCACTTGACATACATGGAAGGGTCACGTGTTTGGGGTGTGGGTGTGGGTGTGATATGTATGTGTCAGTGGTCGCATGAAGGAGAGTTTGTCAGCGCATCACCAGGAGGAGGTGGCCCGGCTCAAACAAATGCACATGCAGGAAATGCAAAAGATACAACAGGTCCGGTCCGCACACAGACAGCACAGGCATGTACACCGCCCTCCCACCCCCGGCTGCTGTGCCTTCCATATATCTCTTATGTGTGTATCAATCAGGTCGGCGTAGAGGAGCGTCAGGCAGCGGAGGGCCGCACCCAGCAGCAGATCGATGGCCTCGCCAAACGACTAGAGGAGGCCGAAAAGTCCAACCGGAACCTGCAGGAGAAAAAGTAAGGGATTAAGACACATACATACAAATTCACGAGCGCAGCGCATGTCAGTATGGCAGTCATGGAAGTGTTCGTCTGTTGGCTCTCCTGCGTGTCTGCCTGCAGGGTTCAGCTGGAGTCGAGCGACCGGGACCTGAGCCGCCGGCTGAAAAACTGCGAGAGCGAACTCCAATCAGCCAACGAACAGGTGAGGTGGAGTATACACACACAGAAAGGCACACGCAGGCCAGTGCGTGCATGAACAGCACAGCACGGATATCAGTCAGTCAGTGCATATGGCTGTCTGTGTGTGTATTCGTCGGTCCATCAGCTGCAGTCGTGTCGTGTAGAGGTGAAGGATTTGGAGAAGGTGCGGCACCAAAACGAGAAGAGCCTCACCGGACTTAACGAAAAAATCAAGGGATACATCGAACAGGTGGGTCAGGTACATTCATGCTCAACCGGTCGGTCGGTCAACCACACACAGACCGACCAGACCAGAGGCAGCCACTCAGCCAGCGAGCAATGTTTGTGCGCGTTGTGTGTGTCGCTGTCTGTGTATGGTCGGTCGCATTCATTCATTCATCTATCAGTTGCAGTCCAAGGATTCGTTGCTGAGCAACTCCAACACACTCATAGACCAGCTCAGGTCACAGAAGGTAGGTGAGCCAGCCGAGCGGAGGACGGTCGGTCATCCCATCATCTCGCGTATCTGTCTGTCTGTATGTGTGTAGGCATCGTTGGAGGATCACTTGTCTGAGGCCAAGGCGGCTCACAAGGAGCTCGAGGACAAGTTCCAAGAGAGCCTCAGAGAAATCAACAAGGCAGCCACCCTCCCACACACACACACACTGCTATACCTCTTCTGTTCGCATGTGTCTCTCTGCGCGTTTGTGCTGTGTGTGTCAGGGCAACGAGATCATCGAGAATTTGCAGCAGCAGGTCAAGAGCATGAAGGCCAAGAGCAAAGCCAAGTCAACCACCATCGCTGCCAACCAAAAGGTAAATACCGCCGTCACGTCACACACTATGTGTGTCTCCTCCCTCTCTGTGTGTGTGTCAGACGATCAACGAGTTGGAGCTCAAGATAGAGAAACAGAAACAAGACATCCAGCTGGTCGGTCAGTCAGTGGACGAGTGGTCACACATACACACCCGCTGGCTTTCTGTGTTGTGGCTATGGTCAGTGTGAGAAGCGTCTGGTAGAGGCGGCGGCGCGCGAGGCGTCGCTCAAGGAGGACATCGAGAAGGAACAACACAAACTCGCAGAGGCACAAAAGGCTCTCGCGGAAAAGCAAAACTGTAGGCAACCCATAAACACATGGATGGATGGATGGATGTGTGTGTGGTGCAGTCATAGATTTCGTGAATCAGCAGTGGGTAGAGCGTGAGCTGACGGTGGCCTTCCCCCCCAAGACACAGACACCCTCCCAGTCGGCACAGCGGTTCCCATCGGCCCCCGCACTCCCACACGCCAACAGCCACCCATCACAATCGCCCTCCTCCCTGCTGCCGCCGCCGCCATCCCTCACGGTCAACGCGCCATCCGTCATGGACCTGGCATGTCAGAATCGGCTCAATGACAAGACCGCAGAGAGGCTTATGCAGAGGGCTCTCGCTAACCCTTACCGACAGGCGGACAGCAGGCAGCTGCAGCAGCAGCAGCAGGAGAGGGGCGTGATGATGCCGAGAAGCGACGGCAGGCAGCCCGTAGGTATGCCGTTAACATTGCATCCACGACGAACAAAGATCCAGACGAAGAGAGAGAGGTGTTTGTTCTGAATGCTTTGGCCAATTAGCCGGTGCTGCGAGTGGAGAGGGTGCAGCTGTTGGCGGTGGCGCTGGTGGTGTGTCGAGTAGTGTTGGTGCAGACGGGTTCGCCTACACGTTTCGGGCCAGTGGTGTGGGCAGCACCCCCACACCCACATCTGCATATGCCGCTGGACCGGCCACCAGCAGCCAGCAGCCGTACTACCACACATCATCCAGCGGCTTCAGAGGTCTGCCAACTGCTGCGTGTGGTATACATACATCCACATGAATGGAATGGACACACTTCCTCTTGTTTGCGCAGCTGTATCTCCGTTTGGTGCCGGTGGTGGCTTCTCGTCCGCCTCATACGGCAGGGCTGCCCCCACCATGCAAACACAGCCGCCCGCAGACACACTGCACCAACACGGTGAGTACAAACTTAACAACCAACGCTGGGTTCTGCGCCACGTTGGTGTGGTGCATCAATCAGGTCTGCCGGACCCCGGTGCGGGTCGTCTGCACCGGCCGGACATCGAGTGTACGCCCCACTTCTCCCGTCGCAGGAACGGGGGCCTCGATGGCGGCACAGACGGCGAGAGCGAGAACCCCAGCCCGGCTCGGCAGATGCAGCAGCCGCCCCAGCCCTGCCAGCCAACGGTGGTGCCGCCTCGACAGAGGCCGCCCGATGAGGTGGCGTCTCGGCTGCAAGGGCCGGTGGTCTACCAGCCACCAGACAGGGGCAGCATGTAGCTAGTGGAGGGTGAGAGGGAGGGAAATGCACAGCGGAAGCAGCCAAATAGGCCTGTGGATGGACGAGTGAATGACGGGCCCGTGTCTGGGAGTGTGTTGGATTCAATTGACGTGTTGATGGGGTGGGTGTGCTGCAGTGCACATGTGCGGCATGATGTGATGTTCGGGGCGGTGTGTGTGTGTGATATTACGGCTCGGCTGTCATGGGTAGTGTACACATTCACTTTGAAAACCATCCACCGGTCTGATGTTCGGGGCGGTGTGTGTGTGTGATATTACGGCTCGGCTGTCATGGGTAGTGTACACATTCACTTTGAAAACCATCCACCGGTCTGCCAGTCAGTCAGTCAGTCAGCCCCACCCCACCGCTCCCTCACACGCACACGGAGAGAGAGAAAGAGAGAGAGAGAGTCTTCGAAGGGGGCCGAGAAAAAGGACGACCGCCCCTCTTGTCCTCTCCAGGCTGTACAATCCCCCACCCCGCCCACTTACACGCACACACACAGACAGAGAGAGAGAGAGAGAGCAAGACGAAAAAGAGCCCATCCACCCGTGTGTCTATCTGGCTGTCTGTGTGTCTGAGTCGTGTGATGGGTGCCACAGGACTTAGCCCCCCCTCCCTCCCTCCCTCCCTCCCCCTTATCAATTGAAAAAGAGCCCATCCACCCGTGTGTCTATCTGGCTGTCTGTGTGTCTGAGTCG